CTTAAGTCAGTGGGACCTCATAACAGCCAGATAACTAGCATATTCAGGTATATTTTGAGCCACAGACATTCAGTAGGCAATACTGTCCCCTCCTGAACACCTGTTTTTCTTCAAACAGGCTTATTGAGTGGGAATACCACAACACAACTGTGAGCCTAGCATTTGGCTTCCAGTTGTGGTGCAGCCCCATTCAATTGAATATGTTGCATCCAGCTCCGGTACTACCCGCCAAGTGCAAAGTGGGGGGATTGATCATTTTTTGCAGCGCTGCAAAGCAAACCATCACAGCCGCAGCATATGGAAGGGGGTGTCCATCTGCCTAAGGGGGGGGGGGGTGTCATGGTAAAATAGGGATCAACTGTCTACACTTAGCCCACCACATCAAATAAAGTATCTGGATGGAATTCAAAGACCAAAACAGCTCAAAGAGCATTGCCAATGCAATCAGTGGCCTAGTCCAGATTATAAGAGCGTTGGTGAAACAGGCTAATGTATTTATTTACTTTTGTGGTACACACTTACCAACCAGGAGAGGTATGGATATTCTTATTCTGATAAAGGCTATTTTAAAGAGGAATCATGATATAAGCATATTCGATAAAGTATTTTAAATTGTATATGCGGGTTTACACTATGATTTATTCTAAATATGGTGGGCATCGGTGGATTGGTGAAGATTGATGGTTATACTTGAAAGCTGCTATATCTGGATGACATCTTGATCTGATCCATGAAACTGTGATGATCCTTTGGTTGAAGCAGAATTTGTGATAATACCCTCGCCGGGAGGTGTAAAGGCATATTATTTACATATTTTTGGTAAGGGTATTCACTCCGTACACCATAGATGTGGACACAGTGTTTCACATGCTGTTTTTGGATGCATATTTTTCACTGGATTGATTCACTGGCACTGTTTTGACACTTTCACTTTTCTCACTATTTGTGATCACTCATGGTTGTTTGCGTTTATCACATTTGTTTATATATATTTTACTTAAGATAATGCACTGTGTGATTTTTCTTTTTATGTTGAGGTTTCTTTGTGAGCCATTGAAAGGCTGAATATGAAGATTGATGACTGAAGTTGGCACAGAGTGACTTTTTATAATATTATATTTATTTTTACAATAATTATATTTATTTAAATTTTGTCTATTTTTGGACTTTTTTTTTATATATTTGTGTGATATATACTTTTGGGAATATTGGTATTAGTATATTAATATTCACATTTACCAACCAGCTTGCAAAAAAATAAATAAAAATAGACTCAGTCTAACAATTCATATTAAAAACAGAGGGTATTGTTTGCACACATTTGCAAATATATGAGGAAGCCGTAGTGGCTATGTCAAGGCACCTATGTGTACTGCAGTCCTAACTCTATCGTTTTCAGAGTTTCCCAAGTTGGAGCATATATAGCAGTGGTTAGATTGAGGCAAGTCTGCCTGGAGGAAGCCCACCCTTCCTTAAAAGCACAGGGATGCACTGGACAGCCAGCAAAAGCACAATGGCAGATGAAGGCATCCAGTATGTCCCTGCAACCAGTTCAACCAACTATACAAAAAAGTGGCAACCACCCCAACCTATAACCAGCCTCTACAATAAGGTGCACATGGAAGAGCAACGCACATCTGTAACAAACACAAATTTCCCAGGCACAAGGATGCACGCATGCCCTGCAAAAGCACCTTACGGCAAATGCTGTTTATAGATTGGGGGTGGTTGCCACTTTTGTGCACATTGTGTGCTACAGATCTTTTACATAGATAGCAATGTTGTTCACCTTCTTACTACATGCAACATGACAGAAGCGTTGTTCAGTAAAATAGTATTTATTTTCTACCAATATATACATTGCATTAAAAGTCAATGATGACCTCTTTCATTAAATGCACACACAGTGTACACATGAAGAACAAAAACTAAATGAAAGCAAGCAAAGATATGCTTATAGCTGAATTCCAGCGGACAAGGATTTAATTCAATTCTGTACGTACAAGAACCTTACTTTATATTAGGTTCCTGTAACCTCCTGCAATTCAGGACTCAGAAGGAGGCCAAAAATTTGAGAATAAAGATCCTGCACAGTGTTGTCTGTCTAATACGAAGGATCGTGAAGGAACACGGCGCAAACAATTCGATTCGCCAATTGGTGTGGCAATGCTTCTTCATTGTCCAGGAATCAATCCTAGGTGCAGGTCGGTGACCATGCTGTAAGATTGGTGGGATCACTGACCTGAGAATGCGGTCAGTGTCCAGATCAAAAGATGGGCTGATTGGAATGACAAATCTTTTCTCCGATAAGCGTTTCACCTACATTTATTAAGCATTGTGCCTGGAGTTCAGCATTAAGCTTTACTGAATGAGACAAAAACATCAATATGTGAAACATACATTACAAACCTTTACATTGTATACAATAATACAGATATGGGAGACAACAGTTCATTGAACTAAAGCAAAAATATGTTCGTGTGCATCTATAACATGATCAACCAAAGACATTAACATTTCTGTCTGACCACATCTGAAAGTGTAATATAATCAAATTTGGCTAGAAGGAATTATTCTGTATAAATATATAATTGTGAATAAAATGAGGGAAGTTTACAAAAAAAAAAAAAGAAGTGCATTCTTATGGGAATATTTCAATCCCATTCAGATGTAGCACAAAACAAAAACACCTTCCTCATGTACAGAAACATGATCATCTGGGCTTCTGTTATTCATCCCACCACTACTTAACATATAAAGACTGCCTCATATATAGAGAAAGTACAGCAAAGGAAATTAAGTTTTGACCACAGAAGTCAATTCTCATTTTTTAATTTTCAAACTTTCAAACCCAGGGGATAAAAGCAGAAAAAAAAAAAAAAAAAAAGTAGAAAAATGGTTACTTACTATGGACAAAACATCTCTTTCCTTATTTTAGACCTAGTGCTGTTGGCAAACAATTCTTCTCTACATCAAATGCAAGGCTGTAGCCACGTAGAGGGAAAAATATATAGATGCTTGTGTATTTAAACAAATGCTCTAGAAACACATTACCATCCAACATTACACAATGAAAAAATGAAGGAAAGAAAAAAAAAAACACACAACCATGATTCTTAACATGGTAGTAAGAAGAGGAAAAAACAACATGCAGAAAGTGCTATGCATAATCATTGGTTCTAGAATTTAAATTAAAGGCAGGCAACGTGAGAAGGAACCCATCATTTTCATTTGTACATTTCCTTGTAGGAAGCCCATTTGTTTCCAAGAGGAGCTTTATCCTCTGCTTGTCTTCATTTTTGTATCACACAAATAGATCTCCAGTGAACAAAACTGTTGTACAATCAGTACTGCCATGTCATCTCTGAAAAACATTTAAATAAGAAAGATTGTTTAATAACTGGTCGGGCCAAGCAAACTATATACAATTACAAGAGATCCTGCCAGGATCGAAATTCCTGGAAGGTACCATTGTTGACGAGCAACGCTTGTTTGCACATATTTCTGCACTCCTGTGATCCGTTTTTAGCCAACAATGGCCTAAAGCCCGGTGTCAGCTGACGTCACAGAGCTGGTCCAGGCTCTGGAAAGATCCTGACAATGTTGGGATCTGCCTCGAAAGCCAGGCCAGCAGCTGGCCCAGCCTCTCAGTGTGCTGCTGAGAGCCTGAGCCAGCCGCTCCTGCCCCCTCAACACAGCCTGGAGCTCCAATGAGCACTGAAGGGGCAGAGTAGACTAATAGTCACCGGCCCTCTGCTCACTGAAGACTGAGAAATGAGAGACCGGCGGTGTCTGATCACTCGGACTAAGAGGTGGCAGGGGGTATCCACCTAGATGAGTAGACTGTTTATTTTTTGTACTCCTGAACTTCTCTTTTAAAAAGGATAAGTTCACCTTTTAACAAAAAATAAACATTTTTTTGCAGGTAAAAAAAAAAATAAAATGTGCATTTATTATTTTTGGTTTCTGGAGCCTCTAAAGCATTGCACCAGCAATCAGCAGATGCCATGCGGGTCTCCCCCTGACCTGTCATTATATCTGCTTGCTCACACATCAACGTACAGACAAGCAGATACTTACTGGCAGGAAGGCTGAATGAACTACCACGCTGGAGTGCTGTGGTAGTTCACTGAAAACTACAAGCTAACAGCTGCAAAGGCTGTTGGAACTTGTAGTTTCCCCATTCACAGAATACTGTGAACAAGTGACATGACCGTGCAGGCAAGTTACTGTTCAGAAGCAAGCATGTACATATCAGGTGTGCTAACATTTTTCTAGTTGCAAGTTTGCTCTGCAGTCAGTCACTCACAAATTAGTACAAGAAAGATAAGAATGAGTATGAAGATAAGGCCCCAGAGCTGGTAATAGCAAGACCAAATTAGAACCAGCAGATCCTATTTTTCTATACTACACATTACATTATAAAGGTGGATCCACAATGTCCATAGCAGGTATAGCAACAGGTTAACTTTATAGCTGGCAGTGTGAGAATCCTATACTTACCCTCCCATATCCCCACTGCTGCTGGATGCCCCCAAAACCCGTTTAGATTTTGGATACACTACCTGCTAGAAAATGGAAGAATGTTACAACATCTAATTTAGACCAAGTACAAGTTCTAAGGGCTTGTTCACATGGGTGGCAGCCCCTGCCGCCCCTCTGTGAAGTGGTCTGTAGTGGATCGCTTTTCAGAGACTGGTAAAAGGAGTGACTGTCAAGCATCTAGGAGGTAATACTGTTGGCCCCAGAATGCTTTTTTTGGCAGCCAAACAAGAACTTTAGATGGGAATACTGAGAGTTCGCTGTTGTGGCACAGCCCCAATCACTTCAATGGGTCATGCTCTATAATGATACTGCCAAACGAATGTGACTTGGGGTATAATTTGTGCAGCAGCAGCAAAGGCAAGCTTTGCAGCCTGTGTACAACTCTGTCCAGCTGGGATATCTCTCACAATCACACACACACATATATCACAAAATGTTTAATATACGTACAACTGCTAAAGTGTCACTTCTGAAATTCCAGGTCCATAGCCTCCTTTTGATTTCATCTGATCCTGGAATGAACCACCCTTTGGGGGGAAAGAAAGAAACAATAATAAACATTTACAAAACTAGCTCATTAACACCAGTCCCATATGCACATTTCTCTAGATAAAATTGTCCTCTTTGATTTTTCCACATTTTGTAGCGTTACAGCCCCAAATTAGCATGTACTGAGTAGTGTTAAAGGCTCTGTTTTTTTAATGTTTTGTTTTTTAAAAAATTACACCTGTATAGACAAATTCAGCACAACACAAATTACTGCTCAAAAAAAAATGTCCAGAAACATTGTTACCGGTACAGCTTCCCGGTCCCTGTGCACCAATTCTCTGAACACTTGGGGAGTGTGCACGAAAAAAGCTGATCTTCCTTCTTGTGACTGCATGTCTCATAATTCATACAGACACCAGGTTGGTGCACGACCAAGGTGCTTTCAATTACTTGGCAGAGGCATGTCTTAGTGTGTCTATTGCTTTTGGGTTGCCTGTGCCTGTAGGCATAGGTAGTGTCCTTACCCAGCCTGAAGTCTCATAGGACCATGCATGAATGGGTTCAGTAGGGCACCATTGGACCTCGCAAACCAAGTCCCCCTTACAATGGAAATCAAGACCAGCAAACAGGAGGCCAGGGTAACAGGGGAAGATACACAAGCAGAAGAGTAAAAATAAGTAACAGAAAATGTAAGTCCTACCATCGAGATATGAAATAGTTTTAAAGTAGGGTTTAATCTCTCTTTAAAGGCTCCATTAAGAAACATGTCTGAAATCCAGTTACTATGTGATGCACAAGCCACCAGGTAAACAAAAAAGTCCTTAACCTTCCCTGACATAGCCAAAGTCTTCTTCATTTGTGTCTCACATGGTTCCCTCCAAGGCACTGCAGCTCACAGTGAGGGTTTCAGCAACAGAGACAGTGCTGTCAATCTGGGAAACCTGTTGGCAGGACTAGATATAGCCATGTGCCAATTGACTAGCCAAGAGGAATCAGGAGCGACAATGGTGATAACACTGCCCACTGCAAAAATGTTTTTATCCCACTGCAGGGCAAGCAGGCAAAGCCTACACAATATTAACAACAAATTCAGGAGCAGTACAGTAGTTGCCACACAGACCATTACAGAAGGTGCATTAGGTGAACTTTACCGGACGTTTCAACAGACGTTTGTGAGACTAACACAAGGGCAGCACAGTGGCTAAATGGTTAACACTTCTGCCTGGAAGCACTAGGGGCATTGGTTCGAATCCCAACCATGGCACCACCTGCCTGGAGTTCTCCCTGTGCCTGCATGGGTTTCCTCCGGGTACTCTTGTTTCCTCCCACGCTCTAAAGACATGCTGGTAGGTGAATTGGATCCTGTCTAAATTGGCCCTAGTATGTGTATGTATGAATGTAAGTTAAGGACCTTAGATGGTAAGCCCCTTGAGGGATAGGGACTGATGTGAATGTACAATATATATGCAATGCGCTGCATAAATTGATGGCGCTATATAAGTACCTGTAATAAATAAATAACATAGATGCCACTTGTTGAAGCACATTTTTTTCCTTTATGTGAGGAAAGATTCTACTTTTTTATTTTAAACTGTGGCACAAAAGATAATCAAAAAGGAAAAAAAAGGAGACAACCCTCCACCCAAGTCAATACTTGGCAAAATCACCTTTGGCACTTTTTTTTTTTTATTTTAAGGTAACCTTCAGTCAGTTTTGCACACAAGGTCAGGAGAAACGAAATGCTTGCGTTTTCACATCTTGTCAGCAGATGGCAGCACTGATATGCGACTATATTAACATGCTGTGTAGGTTCTCCTCCATCACCTCCAGTAGCGGCAGATCATTATACTGAATTGCTGTTTTTCCACACTCTTAGAAATAATGGTGTGAACCTCCTGCGCTTCTATCTATAGTAAGTGCAAATAACAGAGAGAAGCTGCTAACATCCAAATCACATACCTAATGATCAAATGAAATAAGATGGAAAAAAAAAAATAAAAAAAAAAATGATGTAGCGCTACTCAAAAGCAATAAATCACATATCATGAACTAATATAAAGCATAATATAAATAAATGTGAAAACCATATATAACGTGACACAAAGTGCAAATAACATAAATGTGACCTGATCCACATGGGATCTTCAATTGTCTGACCGTGACCTGATCCTCAACGGATCCAGAAGTGGGCAAAGTGAATGGTAAACCCCCACATTGATAGTAATAACAGAAACATGTGAGCCAATACTTACAAGAAGTATGGAACAGATGTGAATAGATCCTAAGTGGGATCTAGAGCGATGGTAGATAGTAAATTAAAAAAATAAACTAGTCCACACTGGGACTAATAAGTGATTTGTCCAGAAATTAGGACTCAAATCAAGGAAAAACGCATAAACATGCAAGTGAATATCTCTGCAAAACCAAATGTGCATAAACACTACATAACAAGAAAAAATAATCCACCCCTAAATAGTGTTTCCATACAAAAAGTAAATAAATCAAATATATATCAGATGAACAAAAAAATGATGAATGGATAAATGCAAAAATGAAAATGTTCGTGTGACTTTATGTGATAATGAACATGCATTATAAACGCATGACACAACACAAAATATATGTGAAAAAGTCCAAACTGGTGCTAACACCACGAAATCCAAAAATGACACTCGTGCCCATGGATTGTGAATGTGGGTAACCACAGAAAGGTATCCGTAAGTAGCTGAATTAGCCGCTAACCTCCTTGCTTCGACCCGCAGGGGTCAAAACACTTTTAGGATCACAAAGCTGGATCCTCCATGTATTTTGAGACTTCCAAAAGTCACTGGTTGAGCCAAAGTTCCGTAGTTTAGCTGGATTTTCCCATATTTAATATTGTTAAATATTTTGTGTATAATAGTAAAATAAATTGAATTAAAGCCCTTTTTAAAAATGAACGTATAACTTGTCTACAATATATACAAAAGTAAAAAGTTCACTTTAGAGGTAGGACTATAGGCTAGATTCACTTTTACTCCTAATCTGCTGAGAACCAACACCTGCACAGGGAGATTTGCACACTCTATTTATTCAAAGGGCCCCATCGCCCGAACTGAGAGCGAGGGATATTGTCATATTTTGCACGGTCATTGAAAACGAAATAAAGGGAAAACTTACAATTGAGACATGTGATCTGCTGACAACTGTCTAAAAGGGCATTTCTCTTACATTAGGTCTAGAAGCAAGGCATGGCCTCATTGCTATGTATTTATAAGCAGCAGTGTACAGTGGAGTTCAAATCACAAATATGCTTCCTGATCTATACTGAACATGCCTTATTGCTTCCAGTTCAACTCGAAGTCTGAGAGTGTTCCAAAGTGTTTTTATACATTTATAGTAAAGTGTACAGGGACAGCTTCTGATTTGCCAGGAGAAAAAAAAAAAAAAATCAAGGCATCATCTGCATATGTATTCTGCTAAATTGGCTAAGCTAAGACCTTCAATATTCAGGAAAATCTGAGTCAGACTCCTTAAAGGCTCAAAAGCCAATGAAAACCAAAAGGTAGTAACCTTGCCCCAAACTACAACCCATTTTAAAAGGTCCTAGTTACATAGTTACTGAATCTTTTTTAAGATCATTCTTCTTAACCCATATTGGTGGCATATCTTAAGGAGATATGGCATTAAAAAGGTCTAGTATTTGATCCACTCAACGTGACAAAAAAACCTAGGGTGTACTTAGAGCAGGTAACCGTTGGCCTTTCCTTAGCAGTTCTTCCATGTCTCCCAGACAATGCTATTTCACTGGCTATGCAACACCACCCTCTTATCGGGACCACAATCCAAACTACAGTGAAGGAAATAAGTATTTGATCCCCTGCTGATTTTGAATGTTTGCCCACTCACAAAGAAATGATCAATCTGAAAATTGAATGGTAGGTGTATTGTAACGCTGAGAGACAGAATAGCAACAAAAAAGTCAAAAGAAATGCATGTCTAACAAATGATGCACTGATTTGCATGTTCATGAGGGAAATAAGTATTTGATCCCCTTCACAAAACATGACTTAGTACTTGGTGGCAAATCCCTTGTTGGCAATCGTAGAGGTCAGACGTTTCCTGTAGTTGGCCACCAGGTTTGCACACATCTCAGGAGGGATTTTGGCCCACTCCTCTTGGCAGATCTTCTCCAAGTCATTAAGGTTTGGTGGCTGACGTTTGGCAACTCAAACTTTCAGCTCCCTCCACAGATTTTCAATTGGATTAAGTTCTGGAGACTGGCTAGGCCACTCCAGGACCTTAATGTGCTTCTTCTTGAGCCACTCCTTTGTTGCCTTGGCCGTGTGTTTTGGGTCATTGTCATGCTGGAACACCCATCCATGACCCATTTTCAAATGCCCTGGCTGAGGGAAGAAGGTTCTCACCCAAGATTTGACAGTACATTGCCTCGTCCTTTGTCCCTTTGATGCGGTGCAGTTATCCTGTTCCCTTAGCAGAAAAACACCCCCAAAGCAGAATGTTTCCACCACCATGTTTGACAGTTGGGATGGTGTTCTTGGGGTCATAGGCAACATTGCTCCTCCTACACGAAGAGTTGAGTTGATGTCAAAGAGCTTGATTTTGGTCCCATCTGACCACAACACTTTCAACCAGTCCTCCTCTGCATCAATTAGATCAGTGGTTCTCAACCTGGGGGTCGCGACCCCTTTGGGGGTCGAACGACCATTTCACAGGGGTCGCCTAAGACCATCGGAAAACACATATTTCCGATGGTCTTAGGAACCGAGACACCACTCCGGTCTCAGGCGATCTGTGGGCTGGATGATATGCTGCCCCTGTAACCTGGCCACACCTCCGGGATCACTCAACAGCTCCGCCTCCTTGCCGCTGATTGGCCACCGGAACTGTAGCTCAGGAGAGGCACACAGGCGGCCAATCACCGGCGAGGAGGTGGAGCTTGGAGAGGAGGAGCCGAGCGGCAGCGCGCAGAGATCGAAGAAGATCGAGGGAGCTGCAGGAACGAGTGAAGAGAGAGGCCAGAGAAGGAAGACAGCTG